CTTCCCTCTGCTGCAGCAATTTCTCTGCAACTGTAATTGCTGCAGATTTTTTTTCCCTCTCTTTTCACCTAATCGCTGCAGATTTCTTGCTCATCACTGTAACTTTCTCGCCCATCGCTGCAGCCTCCTCTGTAGTGCATCATTGCAGCTTCCTCGCCCATCGTTGCAGCCTCCTCTGTAGTGCATCGCTGTAGCCTCCTCTATAGTGCATCGCTGCAGCCTCCTCTGCAGTTCATTGTTGCAGTCTCCTCTACAGCGTATCGATATGCTTTTCTCCTCCTCCCTCCCTCCCTCCTATATCTTTACATCTTTTGTAAAGATCACTTAAATCGCCACAAAATATCTAGGATGTCTTCATTTTCCTCTTCCCGATATTCCTGCCCCTATTTCTGCAGGGACTCTGAGCACTTCTCAAAGTCTTATCACCATCAATGCTGCAGCACTCATTCCCTTCAAATTATCCAAAGGCCGCAACTACGCATCTTGGCGGGCACAACTTTCTAATCTTCTATTTGGCTATGATCTCCTAGGTTACGTTGATGGCTCTCTCCAATGTCCACCTGAAATAATCAACATCCCAGGTGAACCCAGTTTAGTGCCAAATCCAGCCCACAAACTATGGTTACGTTAAGATCGCCTCATCCTCCAAGCTATTCAAGCTTCCGTTGCTGGATCCATTGCCCCGCTGATATCCTCATGTACGACTGCTGCAGAAGCATGGTGCAAGTTACAAACAATTTTGGCAAATCGCTCACGTACTCGCATGCTCAGACTTCTCTCCAATCTGATGAAAATGAAACAAGAGGGAAGTACTATTGCTGATTATCTACAAAATCTCAAAGTTATCATCGATGATTTAGCTTTGATAGGTCATTCTCTCAATGATGAAGAAGTCCTAATCCATACCCTCAATGGCCTAGGAGGCGAGTACAAAGAACTGATAGCAGCACTTCGGGCACTCGACTCATCAATATCATTTGAAGAACTTTATGATAAGTTGATCGACTATAAGACGTACTTGAAGCGTGATGATAGGTTGCCCGGACCACCTATTATAGCTCAGGTCAATCAAAAATCCAAGAGGAAGAGCAACCAGTACAATAAGCACGTCAACAACGATTTAGCTAAGCTGCCTCCTAGCCTTATGGGGCCCAGACCAAACCCTCCTTATCCATATCAAGGTGGTAACTTTCATAATCCTCAACCGTCGCATCCTGACTTCACAAGCCACCAACGAGTCGTTTGCCAACTATGTGATAAAGTCGGACACTCCGCGAAAGTCTATCGGTCCCTCCCCAAACTCCCTGCTCCATCACAGTGGCCTTAGGCGAATTTCATGGCTACTCCAACTCCTACCTAACCTAATTGGATTGTGGACTCGGGCGTCTCTCATCACATCACCTCTGATCTTCAAAACTTGTCCATCCACAATAACTATGACGGAAATGAAGATATCATCATCGGTGACGGTAAAAGAATTCCTATTACTCATTCTGGTTCCTCAACGCTTAGTTCACTTACCACAACTTTTACACTCGATGATATACTGTGTGCACCTAACATTAAAAGAAACCTCATTTCCGTTTCTCAATTCTGTAAACAAAATAATACCTCAATTGAATTCTTTCCTAACTTTTTTCTTGTCAAGGATTTGAGCACGAGAGCATCCTTAGTCCCGGGCCAGAACAAAGACAACATTTATGAGTGGCCATCCGCTTCGCAAATTATCCTTCCTACTGCTCACTCTTCAGTCGTAGCTCCGATTGATGTATGGCATCGTCGTCTTGGTCATCCCTTCCCTTTTATCCAGCAAAAATTACTTTCTCATTATTCTCTTCCTACCTTGAAAATCAATAGCACTGTCAATCATTGCGATGCTTGTCTTTGCAATAAAAGTCATAAACTGCTTTTTGGGACAACCTCTATTTCTTGCTCTAAACCATTTGAAATCATTTATACCGACGTGTGGGGCCTTGCCCCAATTAAACAAGTTTCGCTTTTATGTCATTTTTGTAGACTATTTTACTAAGTACACATGGTTATATCCTCTCCACCATAAGTCTGATGTTTCCACAGTATTTACCAACTTTCGAAAGTTGGTCGAGAATTTTTTTTAATCTTCCATTAAAACAGTTTACTCTGATAGCAGAGGCGAATATCAAGCCCTCACATCCTGTCTCTCTACTTGTGGTATACAACACCTCAAGTCACCCCCATATACTCCCCAATTGGTTGGCTCTGCCGAACGCAAACATCGACATATCGTTGAAACTGGTCTCTCTCTTCTACATCAAGCATCCATGCCACCACCTTTTTGGTTAGTAGCTTTTCAAACTGCAGTTTATCTCATTAATCGTATGCTCACTCTAGTCTTACAATACGAGTCACCATTTGAAAAATTATTCCACAAGCTTCCAAACCTTCATAAACTCAAAGTTTTTGGCTATTTATGTTATCCATGGCTCCGTCCCTATGCGTCACATAAGCTAACACCACGATCTAAGCCTTGCACTTTTATAGGCTACTCTCTTGAACATAATGCTTTTCGATGCTATGAACCTCAAACTAAAAATGTCTTTATATCACATCATGTTATTTTTGAGGAGTCTGTCTTTCCTTTTCAAACTAATCCTACCATGCAAGCTACTCCGATAAACATGCATCACTGGAATATCCCTCCGATCTCATCACACGAACCTCCAATGACACCATCCAGTCCTTACCCTCAAGATCCGCATACTACTATTACTTCGATTCAACAGCTTCTTACTCCCTCTATTTCTCCACTCCCTTCCTCACAAGTTTCCCCTATTAATGAAGTAATACCATCGGCAACATTGCCACTGACTTTACCTTCTCCTAGATCTAGTGACATTGTCGTGCCGACGGTTGGCCCGGTCCATGATAGTGACTCGCCCTCGGCTATATCACCAACACAATCTACCACTTCTATCCCCCCTAGACATCCAATGATAACACGCTCCAAAAGTGGTATTTTCAAACCACGTCAAGTCCTTGACTTACATGCTATAATAAGTTCCTCCACTAAGGCTAGTGAACCCACTACAATCACTCAAGCTCAAAAATCTTCTCATTGGCGTAAAGCCATATGTGACGAATATGATGCTCTCCTCCATAACTCTACATGGACCTTAGTACCCTTTCATCACACACAAAATATCATCGGGTGTAAATGAGTCTTCCGAATTAAGCGGAACCCAGATGGATCCGTTGCCAGATATAAAGCACGTCTAGTCACCAAAGGGTTTCATCAACGACCTGGTGTCGACTTTACAGAGACATTTAGTCCCGTTGTTAAACCCACAATAATTCATCTTATCCTGAATTTGGCCATCTCAAAGGGCTGGCACATACGATAATTGGATGTTAATAATGCCTTTTTACAGGGGACACTTACTGAAGATGTCTTTATGCAGCAACCTCTTGGTTTCGTTCATCCTCAATATCCGAGGTATGTCTACAAACTTCAAAAAGCTATTTATGGACTTCGTCAAGCTCCAAGGGCTTGGTATAACGAGCGTGGCTCGTTTTTGACCTCAATTGGCTTCATCAATTCCAAGTCTGATACCTCGTTATTCATTTGCCAGCACAATGAAAGCATAATATATCTTTTAGTATATGTGGATGATATTATTGTCACAGGAAATGATCCTTTAAAGACTCAGACATTTCTAAAGCACTTGGCCGATCAATTCTCCCTCAAAGATCTAGGAACTTTAAGCTACTTTTTAGAGTGGAAGCAACATTTACATCTTCAGGTCTCTTCCTATCACAAAGAAAGTATATTCAAAATTTATTATCAAAGACAAACATGCAGGATGCGAAAGAGGTTACAACTCCTCTCTCTACTAGTGCATCACTTAAATTATGTGATGGAAGTCCTACTACATATTCGACTCAATATCGACAAGTCCTTGACTCCTTACAATACTTGACTCTCACCCGTCTAGATATTTCATTTGCCGTCAATAAATTATCGCAATTCATGCATCAACCATCTACTACGCATTGGTCTGCGGTCAAACGAATTTTGCGGTATCTTAAAGGGACTCTTAATCATGGCATTTTTCTTCGCAAAAATACTTCACTCCATCTCCATGCCTTTGCTGATGTTGATTGGGCAGGGAACTTTGATGATAGAATATCTACGTCAGGATACATTGTCTTCCTTGGAGCTACTCCAATCAGTTGGAGTTCTAAAAAACAAAAGACGATTGCACGATCTACAACTAAAGCTGAATACCGTGCCATCGCCACCGCCGCTGCTGAACTTAATTGGGTCACAAATCTACTCAAGAAACTCAACGTGAACTCCACAGTTATTCCTACAATATATTGTGATAATATTGGAGCTACCTACTTATGTGCTAAACTAGTGTTCCATTCCTGCATGAAACACATAGCATCGACTTCCACTTCGTGCGAGATCAAGTTGTCAAAGATCAACTCTGTGTTTCTCATGTACATACAGTTGATCAACTAGCAGACTCACTCACAAAACCTCTCGCCCGTAAACTTTTTTCATCTTATCGGTCCAAGATCGGCATCCTTGATGGAAGCTCAATCTTGCGGGGGCATGATAAGTAGATAAGATTTCCTCAAGGCAGTTGAGGAAATTCTCTAAGTAGTTGAGAAAAATCCTCCATGCTGAATGTGTATAACCTCCCTGCTGAGTGTGTATAAATAGCTATCAAAAGCTTACTATCAAAATATCAAAATGTACTAGACAATTACATATTATACGTTTCAAAGAATGTAATGAATCTAATCCATTTACCATCAATTCCCTCCCGTTTCCTAGCACAATCGATGAGGTGTATTCTCAGTCTGTTGAGCTGGCACCCACTGTGAGCATCCACGGTGCAAGATTAGTTGCAGAGCCTCGACTTCCGACATTGCCAGCAGATGAAACAACCAGAATACCGTGGCTGGTAGCGTGGAATGAGCCTATCGAGATCGCATCGTTGAAGTAATCTGCTTCAGGATAATTGGGGCCTAAAGACACAGATAATTGCGTCATCGAAGGCTGCTAGTAAGTCGGCATCATAGCAGCCCGAGTCCCAACATGTCTTATAGACTGAAATCCTCGACATTGGAGCGCCTCCACGAGCTCCTCCAGCCCCCAGACCATTATAGTTCATGTCACTCACATACCGGCCAGCAGCAATGGAGGCCGTGTGGCTACCGTGGCCTGAACTGTCCCTTGGAGACTTGAAATCGGCAGCCTTATCTGCATTCATGTAGTCACCGTGGCTTCTTTCTTCTGCTTCATATCCACTTAGATAGTATCTTGCTCCAATTACTTTCCTGTAAGCATCGAAGAACATCAATATCAATTGAAACAAGGTTACTAAATCCCACATCAAGATAAGCATCGAAGGTACTTGTTGCAGGAAGACTGTGTAAAGGATTCTCCAACTTGGCATTGTCCTTTCCATCTTGAAGGAACTTCCGGCATCCCGACGTCACTGAAACTAGGAGACTGTGGTCATATCCTTGTGAAGAACTCAATCAATTGAGAACAGTAAGAGAAGCATGAATCAAGAGTGTGGCCATATCCCGGACTCAACTTGCAATATCTGCTACATCAACAAGGCCAACACACCTGTATCAATGAATCCGCTGATGACATTCTCTTGGTTCTTGGTAGAAAATCCTGGAATCTCCATCTCCTTGTGTTGGGAAAAACCTGTTAAAGCGGAATATTTTTTTTCCTCTTTGTGTATCAAAATGAGTTCTTCATCAAAATACCAACTTAGAGAGGGTAAACTATAGATCAACACCATTAGGATTGTAGAGTTTGCTGCAAGGATTCTCCATATAAAATTTGGACCAAAATTGACAACGTTTGACCACCGATCGTCAAGCAAAAATCTCAAAAATCTTACTTTCTCTCTCTGCACGTCGCCGCACACGTTCACTGTGCACACGTACGCTGCACATTGCACGCTGCACCAAACCCTTTCTCTTGTTTGCTGCCCTCAATTAGTGATTTGGGCTCAATAAGCCCAATTGTCCAAGCCCACATATGGGCTGAACCCAATAATTCTCCCCCTCCAACTCATATGGTGGGCTGTACCAAGCCCGCTCTTCGCCTATATGCTTCAAGCTTTTTCTTAGGCAAAGACTTTGTCAACATATCTAAACCATTATCATTGGTATGTACTTTTTCCAACTGTAATTCTTTCATCTCAAGCACATCACGAATCCAGTGATATCTCACATCAATATGCTTGGATCTAGAATGATATGTTGAATTCTTAGAGAGGTGAATGATGCTCTGATGTCACAGTAAACAGTATATCCTTCCTGTTTCAAGCCTAATTCCTGTAGAAACTTTTTCATCCATAAATCTTTCTTGCAGCCTTCAGTAATTGCTATGTATTTTGCTTCTGTGGTTGATAGAGCAACACACTTCTGTAACTTAGACTGTCAAGAGACTACTCCTCTTACAAATGTCATCAAGAATCCCGAAGTGGACTTCCTAGAATCAATATCACCTGCCATGTCTGCATCTATGTAACCTTATAATACAGGTTCATCACTACCAAAACATAAACATAACCTGGAAGTACCTCTTAGATATCTTAATATCCATTTCACTACTGCCCAATGTTCCTTTCCAGGATTAGAGAGAAATCGGCTGACAACTCCAATTGCATGAGCTATATTTGGCCTAGTACAAACCATAGCATACATCAAACTACCTACTGCAGATGAGTAAGGCACTTTGAACATTTCTTCTTTTTCTTTCTCAATTGTAGGACATTGTTTCGAACTAAGCTTGAAATGACCTGCAAGTGGAGAACAAACTGCTTTGGCTTTACTCATGTTGAATCTTTAAAGAACCTTTTCAACGTAAGTCTCCTGAGATAGTTAAATCTTCCTTTTCTTCCTATTACGAAGAATCTTCATGCCAAGTATTTGTTTCACCGATCCCAAGTCTTTCATGGCAAAAGACTTACTTAGCTCTCTTTTAAGCTTTCTAATTTTTCCAACATCATGGCCAACAATTAGCATATCATCAACATATAGTAGTAAAATAATAAAATCATCATCTGAAAATTTCTTCACAAACACACAATGATCAGATGTGGTTCTATCATACCCTTGGCTCATCATAAATGAATCAAACTTCTTATACCACTGTCTAGGTGTCTGTTAGAGTCCATATAAGGTTTTCCTAAGCTTACACACCGTATTTTCTTTTCCCTTGACTTTGAAACCTTCTGGTTGCTCCATGTAAATATCTTCTTCTAAGTCACCATGAAGAAATGTTGTTTTTACATCAAGTTGCTCAACTTCTAAATTCAAGCGGGCAACTAAACCAAGAACAACTCGGATAGAGGACATTTTCACAACTAGAGAAAATATTTCTTCAAAAGTCAATACCTTTCTTCTAACTGAATCCTTTCACAACTAGTCATGCCTTGTATATTTGTTGTGAGCTATTATTTTCAGTCCTCAATTTATAAACCCACTTATTCTTGAGAGCTTTCTTCTCTTTAGGCAATTTTACCAAGTCATAGGTGTGGTTCTCAAGCAAGGATCTCATCTCTTCTTGTATGGCTTTAACCCACTCACTCTTATTCTTATGTAGAATAGCTTCTTGGTAAATTTCTGTCTCAACTGGTGATGGAGGTGCTTGTGCTAGTCATAGGTGCCCAGCAAGCCAATCACGTGAGTGATGGCACGTGTGACTTGATACAGAATATTTTTGCTTATTATATTTTGGCGTATATCACTTTATAACTATTACATAAATGCATATATATATTGTGATGTCCTTGGATTTGTGCAATGGGAATCGGATCGTGATGAGATCACGATAATGAGATCGATTCACCTTTAAACACATATCCTAAATAATCACGGTCATAGGTTACTCGAGAGGGACATCGTGATAACCGGACAGACTGGTGTGCTGTATACCCGTCCATATGATGGATGCAGTTGGTCTCATAGCTGCTCGTGTAGGGACACTAGGGACACAGTACAGGTGCTCATTGGAGAATGAGTTCACTGATTGATCTGCTTACGGAATGTTGGATGGTTGATGAAGCCTTATTGTCAGACAGCGATTCCGTAGTCCTAGTGGTGTATTTGGTCCTTAGACTTGAGACACCAAGGATGTCCTGTATGAGTGCTCCACTCTTTGATACCAGACTTATAGGTTTGGTTGTCCCAAATCTAGTACAGTTGGTCATTAGGAGTGGTAGTCGACCTTACGAGGGCTATTGAGTGTCAATAGAGGATCATCCACTCTTGGCGTCATGAGAGGAATATCCCATGTGTTCTTGCTCAGACAAATCCCTAGCCAGGGTCATTCGGGTTGAGAGAGAAAGAGTTCTCTGGGAGAATCCGATTAGAGCGAGACTCGAGTAGAAACCGTATGGGTCTGACAACACCATGCTCGATATACGGTCTTTGGGATGTTAGATGGATGAGGGACTATAGGTACACGGTAACTGAGGACAGACAGGTCCAATGGATTGGATTCCCCTGTATCGTCTGGGGACTACGGCGTAGTGGCCTAGTACGTCCGTAGTCGATGAGTCGAGTGAATTATTACAGAGATAATAATTCACTGAGTTAGAAGGAGTTCTGACAAGTATGACTCACGGTCAGCTTGATATTGGGCCTAGAGGGTCACACATATATGGTAAGCATTGCGATGAGTAGAGGTTCGGATATGAGATATCCGACGGAGCCCTTGTCTTATTAGATGCAGATCCAATACCCACTAGGGGAGGACCCATTAGGGTTTGACAGGGGACCTCTATAAATAGGAGGGATACAGAGCCTCATAGGCTAGAGCATTTGCTTGCCTTTCCTATTCTCCTCTCCCTCTCCACCTTAGAGCAGGCCTGGAGTTTTGAGGAGCGTCGTCGCAACCCTGCTATGTGGATCACCGCTAGAGAGGAGGATGCTTGACCTCCTTCACCCTCTCCTAAGGATCTACAAGGAAACAGGGATATACGATCTCCCTAGGTAACACAATCTACTCTATACGCAGTTTTGAGTTTCGCGAATTTTGCGCACCAATCTTCGCACGACAACGAACATCTTTTTGGGAATCGGGGATTTTGTTTTCTTGTTCTTCCACTGCGCATGTGATGTCGCCCCCAAGATTTCGCAATAGTGGTATCAGAGCCAGGTTGTTCGTGCGAATGATTGGTTTTGAACTGCGTGTGTTGTGTTTAGGAAGAATTTTGACGTCAAAATCATTGACGCAAAAACAAGGAAGGGCAGCAATAGTTGCTGCCCTCGATTACGTGCGTGCAGCGTAGCCGAAGGCGGACAACACAAGGGCTGCGTCTGCAGCAGCCGACCGGCGGCCTGCTTGCAGCAGGCTTGCATCCGGCGGGGCTGGCAGCCCGCGGGCAGAGGCGCCTGCGGCCGCTTCTCCCACGAGGTGAGGCGCCGTAGGGCAGCGGCGCTTGCCACCGCTGCTCCCGCGGGCGAAACCCCCCCCCACAGGGGCGGTCGCCCGGCGGGACAGCAACGCCTGCGGGCGTTGCCCCACCGGTAGAACCGCCCGCGAGGGCGCCCACCTGCAGGCGAGCCGCCAGCGGGAGTGCCGCCTGTAGGCGAGGGTAGCGCCCTCGCCTCGCCGCACAGGCCGCCGCCAGCAGGGTGGCGACGACGGCAGCAGTAAGAGGGAATTAGGGTTTTGGGCAAAAAGATAGTTTTGCCCTTGTGAATTTGAGAAATTCCAGTTTCTATCTTTTTTATGAAAATACCCTTAGGAATTGAGAAATTCCCTACATATCCCTGATTTTCAGAAAATATTAATTAATTAAAAGGTTTAGTTGATTATTATTTTTATTATTATCTAGTAGTCCTACATGATGATGATTATTTATACATGTGATGTATGATGTGTGGACGGATGATCATGGACCGTGTGATGTGTGTTCTTGTGATTATTATTATTGAGGTCTGCGAGCCTCCATTATATTTCTCATTTATTGTCGGGCCTACGTGCCAATGATTAAGTTGTAATCATATGAGGAGGCATAGCGGGAGCGTGGATACGATAGCGGGACCCACGAGACGGACGATCGTGATACATGAAGATGCATCAAGATGTCGACGGAACCAACGAGGACGAGATGGATGATCACAGGGCATGGAGATGCACCGTTGCACACATAGATCTTGATGTGAGTGATTAGGCCTACTGGCTCGGGCCTAATCATATTAGGTTGTGGTCCATGATCATCTGGTGTGATTGCTTATACACATACTAGATATGTATATATATTTGCATGCGATGTAGATATATATTAAATATGTATATGTGTGACATGTCATATTAGGAGACCAAATCATAGAAACATCTCTCGATAATATTAAGTCGGTAAACGTGAGGCAATTAGATTGACCCATGTGGCCTTCCATCGTTATAAGTAGGAACC